GTGCTACTCGCACAGTCCCTCTCCCTCTGCAGCTGCTTTCCTTAGACATTGGCGAGGACAGAGCAGGGCCAGGGAGACCCAGGGTTTGGCTGAGGATCGAATGGGACCGGAGCACGTACTGACAATGTGGGCCTCGGACAGCGTGGAAGGGAGGCGGTGAGATGTGGAGGCGCTTCCTAGCCGCCAGCTTCAGGATGTAGCAGCCGTTTTCCAGGGAATCTCTTCAGCGTCTCTGTTGAGGATCAGACCTTTTACAGATGGGCTGGCCTGGGGGTAGGAATGGTCTGTTCTCGTTTCGCTTTCCTGTTTCATCCTGCAGCCTCTGGGAACCGTGGGAAAGAAAGAGCCTACCTTCATGATCTTTCTGGACCACAAGTTGACCGCGGGATGGGTTGAATATGTCCGGAACCACATTCTTGCAGGCACTGTGTTAAGATGGCCCCTTCATTGAGTCCTGAAAGACTGTTCAGGCAGCTGCTTGGGGTGTGGCCATAGGGTAGACCTGAAGGGGGAAGTGAGTGGATGTCTTTTCTGGTTGCCTCTCCCTTTCGGTCCGAGTCTCTCTCCTCCAGGACAATGTCTTCCTCCAGACATGGCAGAAGGGAGGCTCCCCAGGACTGGAACCAGCTCCCTGTGTTGATGGGAGCATGTGAAGAGGCGGACAGCGTGGAGGACCAGCCACCTGCTCCGTAGGGAGGGCTGGGGGAGCAGCCAGGAGGTGTGGCCAGTGGTACAGTTCTCTCTGGCAAGCAAGCTGCTCTTTGGTTGAGACGAGTGTATGAAGAGAGCTTCCGAATGAAAAGCAGCTCTTGATAACTTAATCCCCATTCTAATTGCACCTCTATAGTTAAATACGGATCGTGATGAACTCTACTGGATTGTGTCATGAGGAAAGTGGGCCTGGCTCTGCCATGCTGTTTGTTCAGGCCTCATTTGAGTGTAAAGAGAAATTGCTACACAGACTTGGGCAGCTGTCTTTGTCTCCAAGTGGCCATGAAGGTTAGAGTTGTGTGTAAAAGGTATGGAAGCACAGGCAAAGGACAAAGACTAGTTTGGGCAACTTTTTTTTTTTTTTCTCTTGCTGCAAGCTTGTTAACCAGGCAGGACTTATTTTCAGAGATGGACTAAATTCTAATGACGAATAAAGGCAACTGTACAGAATTCTTTGCAATTAGAAATGCTTCCTAGATGCGGAAAAATATAAGAGGGGCAGCTTGGTAACTAGTTCTTTCTAGGTTTGGAGGGTTTCGCATGATTAAGACCCTGAAATTAATTCATCGATGTGCCTCACATTTGGGATTCCACTAAGGCCTCTTCAGTTCTCGTAACAGGATGACTGACCGAGGCTGCCTGGGTCTGGCTGTGGCCCCGTGTACCTTGGGGTTCCTTTCCTTGCAACGGAAGGGTGGCTCTTGGCTAGTGGACCCTGGTCAGCAAGGACATTCTGGAAGCTGAGACTGAAGTGAGTAGGGATCAGAAGCAGAGAGGCAGGGCTTGTGCTCTGGGGCCACTCCAGCCCTGCAGCTGCCCTGGGGCGTGAAGTCAGGTGTTCAAGGAATTAAGTTGAAGGGTGCTGGGTCCTCGGATAACATCTTTTTCTAAGCACAAAACATGAACATGGTCTACAGACTCATCTGCTTCCCATCAGGTTTCCGAGCAAGTAGAACAGAACTATCTGTGCTTGGGGATGAGGTTCATTTGGTCTGACTCTTGGTCATTCCCTGCAGTTGGAGTTTTAGGGTAAAGTCTCTCTCCTTGAGAGTACTTCCTGGGAGACTTGGCCAGGAAGAGGGTTGTGGTGGCGCGGCAGAGGCAGCATGGAATGGTGGATGCAATTTTGCCACTTGCTGCTGGGTGGACCGAAGCTGAAGGAGGGGTAGGACTGGGGTTTTGCAGCAGGACAGTGGAGCACAGGTGGAGCCTGTAGTCACTCCCATCTGTTCTTGGGCTGTGCACTGTCTTAGGGTCCTTTCAGAGTTAGCTGCTCTTTTTCTCTCCTCCCTCCCCGACAAGCTCTCCTAAATCCAGCTGGTTGTGGAATTAGTCAAATGATTTTGGCAAAATCTGAGTTAAGGAAAGACAGGGAGATTCGTCCTTTTCCCTAATCCACTCAGTTGAGATTCTAAGCTATTTGTAGCAACTTTCTTACAAGTTTTATAAATAACTTAGCATTTCTTAGCAGAGAATAAGGATTTTTACAAGAGCAAATAATATCCTGGCAAAGAGGATGAAACCAGACCTGCTGGTTTTAAATAGTGCTTTAATTGCATGGTGTTGGCATGCTTGCCGGGATCACACATAGCATGCCTTTTATTTGGTTGTTAGTGTTCCTTTAGCACATGAACCCAGTTGCAAAGCGCACTCCATCAATGTCCCAGGAGCAGCAAAGTTTTTGCAGTCTGTGGAACAGTCAGATGTCCGAGGCAGCTCAAATGCAGAGTGTTTGTGGGCTAAATGCAGACTTCCTTCCACTGATGGTTTCCATTTATTTCGTCTGTTTCTCAAGTCTACCAGTTTCCCTATCCATTCTGAAGAAAAGCAGGATTTTTTTTAAAAAAGAGCACTAATTGCTCTACTAAAGGGAACCCTTATTGAATTAAATCCTCAGAGTGAGGTAATGACTGAATCTCTTCCTCAACTGCCTTTCTGTTGGAATTATGTGGGAAGTTTAATGTGGTCCTCAGTCAGAGGCCCCAAATAATTTAATGTGCCAGTTCTACCTTTGAGATGGTAGTCGCCTAGGATCATCTTCCAGATCCTGGAGCTCACAGGGCTCCGCCTGGCTTCTGCTGCAGTTATCTTTATCTGTGCAGAGGTGAGCTAGCCCAAGTTTGGCCTTTGTCACTTGTATGATAAAAGACCAGCTTTGGGCCCTGGCCGGTGTGGCTCAGTTGATAGGAGCATTGTCCTGTACACCAAAAGGTTGTAGGTCCGATTCCCAGTCAGGGCACATGCCTAGGTTACAGGTTCGATCCCTGGCCGGTCAGGGCATGTGCAGGAGGCAACTGATTGATGTCTCTCTCCCCCTCTCCCCCCTCTCTCCCTCTTAATCAATCAATAAAAAATGTCCTTGGGCAAGGATTAAAAAAATTCCCCAAACAGCCAGCTTTGTCTGTGGGGTGCAGGCATGGGTCTGGAGGCATTGGGTTTGTTGACAACAAACTGGAATTAACACATTGTATGCGGGAAACGTATTTGTAAGTAGTAGAGCCACCCGTTACTACCCGCATACAATGTTAACATAGGGCACAATATAGTCTGTCTCAGAGGCAAGAGTGGAGCTGAGCCTCTGCTTCCAGGAACAGTGCCCAGGGGATGCTAAGGATGGACTTTCAACAGCGGCCAATTGGATTGACTGATGCACCTCTTGCCTTGAAGCATGACATATTTACAGGCACCATGAAGGAGAGAGAATCCCTGCCAATCCCATTTGGGATTGGTAATTTGAAACAGGAGGAAGCAAAAGGGGCAACCATCCAGTCTGTTTTATTTCTAAAAGAGGTCCTACCTGTTGGGGACAGGAGAAAGGAGTCTGTCGTGCTTGGGGAATTGGGCAACTTCTGGCCACCCATCCATGGTCCTATCCCAGAGAGGTGTGGCCTCCCGTCAGTCATCGTTCACCCCAGGTCCCTTCAGTTTGGGGCCCTGTAGGTTTGTAAGACATCCCTTAGCTTCACACTGTCTGCTTTCAGGTTCACACTAACAGCCCCGTGTTTTGTCTTTTGCAGGTTGGGTGGCCCAGACCCCTTGGATTATGTTAGCATGTACAGGAATGTGGGGAGCCCTTCTGCCAACATCCCCGAACACTGGCACTACATCAGCTTCGGCCTCAGCGACCTCTATGGTGACAGCAGAGTCCATGAGTGAGTGTGTGCCACTTGCCTACCCTTCACCTGCCTGTTCCTTAGCCTTGAACCTTTTCTCTGAGGTTTTCCTGAGTAGGGATGATGATGTCATAGTCCTGTGGGGTTGGTACTTCTCAGGTGGAACCTCTGAGTGTCTGTCCTCTGCCTATATCTCCTTGTGCCAACGTGGTCCAGGTCAGCACCTGAGCTCTGCTTATCTGGTGCGGGAAAGTGTCGATGATGAGCAAGAGTTCTCAAACTATCAGGTTTTTCCAAGCTTGCTCTGGTGTTTGAGCTCAGAGGGCAGGCAGCATAGCTATGATTCAGAATTTGTGTTGATGCTTTTACGTCTACTTCTTCTCTCCCCACCCCACCCCCCCCCCTGCTAGTTTATTATGAAAAATGTTAAACATAAAGCAAAGTTGAAGAATTTCATAGTGAATACTCATATACCCACTACCTAGATTCTACCATTAACATTTTACTCTACTTGCTTCATCACGAATATATCCATCTCTATAGCCATCTCTGTCCCTCCATCCATTTTACCTACTTCCTCTTTGAAACAGATTCATGGATTCTTATTTAATTTAGTGCTCAAAGCTGAGGTAAGAAAGGTGAGCGTTCTACCTTCTAGCATAAGTGCTAAGAGGTGTTAAATTGGAATTATGGCAAGTGAATTTCTGGCAACATTCTTCTTCCATTGTCTTTTGTCTTCTCATTCAGTGAAAAAAGGCCAGAAGCATTGGTTCATTTATTCAGCATACATTCATCAAGCACCTATTTTGTAACAGATACAGAACATCATAATAAATGTGTTGGGAATAAAATCCCGAGACATAATTCTTGTATTGAGCTCATGTTCTCGAGGGGAAGGAAGCTTAAAGAGATGGTTATAGTACTGAGTAATAAATGCTACCATCCATGGATGTGGAACATGCTCTGGGAGCAGAGTGGAGCGAGTGACTGTTAATCAGCCTGTGGGATCAGATGCTCCAGGAAGGAGGTGGAGTTTGAGAGGAATCTTGTAAGGAGGGGGCTGGGGTGAGACCTGCACCTGACGCTTTAGGACACCAGCGTTCCCTTTGAGGACTGAGAGAGGCTTTACAAACCTTCTAGCCCCATGTTTCCAAGACTTGTAGTGCTGCCTACATAATTTTTGCCACCTCTAGAATATTGTCTGCTGTGTCTTCTCTGTAAACTAACCCTCCTTTTAAAAATTGATATAAATAAATCTTTAAAAGTTAAATCACTATCATATATGGAAACCAATATCATTTGCTATCATTTAAAGGTAGTTATGGAAATACACACAGTAATAACAAAGCAATGTTATTAAATTCTAGCTTAATACTGTGGCCTGTCACAGAATATTCTAAGCCTGAAGCCACCTTTCTCTTTGTTCAAGAGATTAGCAAGAAATATGAGAGAGGTATTACAAAAGTATGTTAAGCCCAGCCCATGTGACTCAGAGGTAGAGCGTCGACCTATGAACCAGGAGGTCATGGTTCAATTCCCGGTCAGGGCACATGCCTGGGTTACAGGCTCGATCCCCAATGTGGGGCGTTCAGGGGGCACCCAATCAATTATTATTCTCTCTCAGCATTGATGTTTCTATCTTTCTATCCCTCTCCCTTCCTCCCTGAAATCAATAAAAATGTATTTAAGGAAAAAAAGATATGCTAATACCGAATGGAACCTGGCACCAGACATGATTAGAAAAACTGAAAGGGAATTGAAAAGGGAACTTTTTTAAAAAGTATGATTCAGTGTTATTTATTGTCACAGATAAATAGGAAACACTGATCTAGCCCACCTCCCTTAGTTGTACAGTTGAGGTAAGTCCAGCAGCCTGCCAAAGGCCATACAGCAAGTTAAGGAGAGCAGCAGGATCTCCTAACATCCCCACTGTTCTATGCTCTCTCTTATGATTGGTAAGCAAGGAGTGTATGGGAGTATTAGTTAAAAGTACACATGTTTAAATACTCTATAATTATCTACACTAATAAAAGAGAAAACATGGTAATTGGCGTACGACCGCTACCCTTCCCATTGGCTAATCAGCGTATCCTTATGCAAATAACTGTCAGCCAAGATGGCGGCCAGCAGCCATGCACTGAAGCGAGCAGGGAGGCTTGCTTCCTCCAGGAACTGCAGACTCCAACGTTCCCCGCCTCACTTGCCGGCCTCTCAACTGCAACTCTAAGCAACTATTACTATGTTGCAAATAAGAAGCTAAACAAAACCGGCTGTCAGTCAGCCCCGGACCGCAACATTGTATCCATGTTTTCAGCAGCGAGGCCTCAGAGCTAAAGCTGGCCCAGAATAAAAAAAAAAAAAAGAAAACAAGGAGTGGTTGGGAGCTTTTAGTCAACTGCCAGCGGGAAAACAGCCCTCAGCCCCTCACCCAGACTGGCCAGGCACCCCAGTGGGGACCCCCACCCTGATCCAGGACACCCTTCAGGGCAAACCAGCCGGCCCCTACCCGTGCACCAGGCCTCTATTCTATATAGTAAAAGGGTAATATGCCTCCCGGCACTGGGATCAGCGGAGCAGCGAGGCTCCCGGCACCGGGATCAGTGTGACATGGGGCAGCGCCCAAACCCCCTGATCAGCCCTGCTCTGTGCCTGATAGGGGGGGAGCTCCCCAATCCCCCGATTGCCCTGCGGCTCTGTGTGTGACAGGGTGCGGTGCCCCAACCCCCCGCCCCCACGGGCCCTGCTCTGTGTGTGACAGGGTAGAACCATAACCTCTCCGTCGGCCCTGCCCTGAGTGTGACAGTGGCAGTGCCCCAACCCCCTGATCGGCCCTGCTCTGTGGGTAATAGAGGGTGGCGCCCCAACCCCCCTCCACGGGCCTTGCTCTGTGTGTGACAGGGTAGAACCATAACCTCCCCATTGGCCCTGCTCTGTGTGTGACAGGGGGGAGCTCCTCAACCCCCTGATGGGCCCTGCTCTGTGAGTGACAGGGGGCAGCGCCCCAACCCCCCTGATGGACCCTACTCTGTTAGTGACAGGGGGCAGCACCCCAACCCCCTGATCGGCCCTGCTCTGTGAGTGACAGGGAGCAGCGCCCCAACCCCCTGATTGGCCCTGCTCTGTGAGTGACAGGGGGCAGCGCCCCAACCTCCCGATCCGCCCTGCTCTGTGCATGACGGGGCAGCGCCCCAACTCCCCAATCGGCCCTGCTCTGAGCCTGACCAGGGGCTGCACTTAGGGATTGGGCCTGCCCTCTGCCACCTGGGAGCAGGCCTAAGCCAGCAGGTCGTTATCTCCTGAGGGGTCCCAGACTGCGAGAGGGCACAGGCCGGGCTGAGGGCCCCCCCCTCCACCCCCCCCGAGTGCACAAATTTGGGCACCGGGCTCTAGTCTATATATATAAAAGGCTAATATGCTAAGTGTCCGTCAGGTAATGACAT